AAATTTGGGCTCTATACCGGGTAACGGGGTCCTTAAAAAATAAGGGTCCTTAAAAAAATAAGGGTCCTTAAAAAATAAGGGTCCTTAATAAAAATAAGGGTCCTTAAAATAAATAAGGGTCCTTAGAATTTCAGGTTAAGGACCCCTAGTCCGGACAGGGGTCCTTAAAATAGATGCTATTCTTAAGGACCCTGATTCCGGCAACTCCCGAAAATACAGTATTTTCGCCGTTTTCGCGGAGACGCGGATTCGCGACAGATTGTCCTTTGTTTCGCATTTTGAATTACACCCAGTTTGTGCCTAAAAATAAGGCTTCGTGCCACCCGGGGCCTAGTCGCTTCGGATGGGTGCGAGCTTGTATAGGCTTTGAAATGGGGCGCCAAGGCCGGCGAAGCGCCGGGGCGCCCCATTTCGAAAGAGTGGAGCGGCAGCCCATCCGAAGCGACGGCCCACCTTGCCTGACACGTCATAAGCGTCAAATTGTCCCTGGCTAAAAACCTAGCACGTCGGGTTGCGTGGAAATTTCTGTGGGGATGTGCACGATTTCAGGCTTATGGCGTGTCAGGCAGGTGGGCCGTCGCTTCGGATGGGCTGCCGCTCCATTCTTGAAATCGGGCGCCTGGCGCTTCGCGCCCTCGGGCGCCCTGATTTCGAAACCCTGTACGAGCTCGCACCCATCCGAAGCGACTAGGCCCCGGGTGGCACGAAGCCTTATTTTTAGGCACAAACTGGGTGTAATTCAAAATGCGAAACAAAGGACAATCTGTCGCGAATCCGCGTCTCCGCGAAAACGGCGAAAATACTGTATTTTCGGGAGTTGCCGGAATCGGGGTCCTTAAGAATAGCATCTATTTTAAGGACCCCTGTCGGGACAGGGGTCCTTAACCTGAAATTCTAAGGACCCTTATTTATTTTAAGGACCCTTATTTTTATTAAGGACCCTTATTTTTTTAAGGACCCTTATTTTTTTTAAGGACCCTTATTTTTTTTAAGGACCCCGTTACCGGTATAGAACCGAAATTTGGTTGTTGTTAGGTTATGAAACATACGACATTAATTCGCAGTTTCTGGAATTTCAGTTTAAACCTAAGCCCTTTCAAAAGCTGCGAAAAAAACGTTAACAAGGATTAATTGAAACAACGCGATCAATTTCAACACTGAGAATGCGTGAAATTTTTTTATTTATCTTTATTTACTAAATTAATTTTTTAATTCGTGTGTATTTTGATGTTAGCTCGAGGAGAAATTCTACAGCTTTAAAAAATTCTCCTATTTTTAGCGTTTTGAAACATTATTGTTTGCCAAAAATTCGAGAGTCCTGATTTGGCATTAGAAAATATGTAAAAATCGCAAGTCCGCATGTTAAACATCAATAATCTCTGCTTGTAGGCATGGTTTATTGTGATTAGTATGCGAAACATAATTATTTTACGAGTTTCAGATCTAAAGATCGGAATTGCTTGGTATAAATTGTCAAAAAATGCCGTTTTGAAAAATGGCATGCCAAAATAATTGCGACAAGTTACAAAACCCGAAACCCTAAAATCTATGAAACTTCTGAATTCAAAATTTACGAATTAACTTGGTGGCTTTATTTTTCGAGCAATATTTTCATATTTGCGGTCGATTTCAAAATTGCTATTTTCGAATTAAAGATGACGCTATTTTTATTCAAATCTCAAAATCTCAAGAGAAAGAATGAAAGTCCTTTATTGTAAAACAAAACATTTAAAGAAGAAAATAGACAAATTTTCAGGAATTTTTATTTAGTTTCTTCTTTTAATTTGACTTCTTACTGGGGAACGAGGGGAACGGAGCAATAATGGTTTTGTCTTTGACGACTCTGACCGAGGTTTTTTCGAAACATTCCTCCGACTACCGTATCCCCTAATTCTAGGCGAATACTATCCACATGGTCAACAACCTCGTGGTGACGACGGTGGCGTCGATTCTTAATGTGAGTTAATCGGGGCTCAAATACTCTTTACTGCGAAAATTCAAATTCTCTGCAGCTGACACATTTTTGAAACATCGTATTTTCAAAACTATATTTTATATAGTATTGCCCATGAATATTTACGGTTTAAAATTGAAACTTACAACTTTTCATTGAAAATCCTCAAATAATGAAATCAAAAATCGATAATCGTGGATTTTGAAACCGAATTAAAATCTCAAATAGCTCACTAGCATCAACTTGTGAGCCCTGTTCTTTTTTTAGAAATCCTACTATTATATAATAAATAGTGTCTATGTGTGTGTGTGCATTTGCATGCAACTTCCGTCCGTATGTTCCAGTCGTATCTCAATAGGGGAGGAAGTTAAGGGTATGTATGATACGTCATTAGGTGCGTAATGATCATGACACGACTGCACTCCTATCAGATTTTGAAAAATCAGCTGTTTTCAAAGAGGCACTGGATTGAAAAGCACAAGCGGCTTTTCAACCCTGGTTTTATTTGATTGTAAATTGGTAATTAAAATGAATCATTCAATTCAGTAAAAATAAAATCATTTGCTAATGATAAAAATTTTCCGAAACATGTTTTTTCAAAAATTTCATTTTTGCTATTCGTTTCAATTACGCTGGCTTTGCCAGAATATATAAATGGACAAGCTTTTTTGATCTTTTATCTGTAGTAAAAATGTTATTTTTTAGGTGATGATGGTGTCATTCCTGGTCCGCCTCTACCGTAAGAGCTCCGTCGGCGTGTCGACCATGCAGAAAGTCGTGCGTTTTTTGAGATTACCGTTGGCGGTTATTTGGGATAGAGCCACCTTTTTCTAGCTGACACCGTCCCTTTAAAATCCAGACCTGGTATAACTACCTGAAATTCAAAGGTTTGAAAGATGAATCAATACTGAAGAACTCACAAAAACTAGCAGTCATTGTCCCTTTAGCTGTCATTTAGAAAAATGACTCAATTTGATTTTTGATAACCTAAAAAAATATCGTCGAAAATTTTTTCAAATCAATACTGAAAGGGTTAAGAAGATTAAACGAAACACAGAGAAGAGTCAATACATCTCACGAAAAAAATTTAGTATCTGTTTTTTTTGAAACATTGTATTCCAAATAAACTTCAAAACTCTTGATGTTACGCCAGGATTACCGGTATCCCAAAACAAGTCCAGGATTGAGGCAGAATTCAAGCCTAAGCCTATCCTCAGTCCATGCCTAAGCCAAGCATGTTCCAGGTGGTCATCCAGTGCCTCTCCATTTGCATCGTCATGATGATCGCATCGGGCATCTACTGCTTCATGCAGTTTATCCCGGTGCCCGTCTTCTTCGTCGTCATCTCCACGATGATGTGGCAGTTTTCAAATGGTATGTTTGGTGTCGCACTCCCCTTAGCACCCTTTCAAATGATCTCTGCTAGCCTGCCCTCTCCTCTTCCTCAAAAATCTCTGCTAGCCTGCCCTCTCCTCTTCCTCAACAATCTCTGCTAGCCTGCCCTCTCCTCTTCCTCAACAATCTCTGCCAGCCTGCCCTCTCCTCTTCCTCAACAATCTCTGCTAGCCTGCCCTCTCCTCTTCCCCAACAATCTCTGCTAGCCTGCCCTCTCCTCTTCCTCAACAATCTCTGCTAGCCTGCCCCTCTCCCTCTTCCTCAACATACCTCTGCTAGCCTGCCCTCTCCCTCATCCTCAACAATCCTCTGCTAGCCTGCCCTCTCCTCTTCCTCAACAATCTCTGCTAGCCTGCCCTCTCCTTTTCCTCAACAATCTCTGCTAGCCTGCCCTCTCCTCTTCCTCAACAATCTCTGCTAGCCTGCCCTCTCCTCTTCCTCAACAATCTCTGCTAGCCTGCTCTCTCCTCTTCCTCAACAATCTCTGCTATCCTGCCATTTTTCAGGAGCGCCCGGCGTGATGTACGTGGTCGTCAACCGCTCGATCCGCACGGCCGTCTTGACGATGCTCGGCATTCGCAAAGATACCAGTAAGTTTACAAACTTTACCTATAACAAACTTTTTTTACCAGATTTTTGTTTATATGTAACCAAATCTCGGATTGGCATGACTACTGTCATATTCCAACCCTAATTTTGAAAGACCGACGAAACATTTTTATTTCGCAGGTCCCGGAAAAATGCGAATTCTGATTTTGCAGCAAGCTTTGAAGGCGAATAAGCTGGGAGTACAAATGGTTACGAATTTAGTTATCGATATAGTGCCACTAAAACCCCGTACGTCGGAAAAATTTTCTAAATTCTTCAATTCTACAAAATTTCTTGAATTTGTAATTTTCGATTTGGCAGGAGGTACTAGTAAAAGACGTCACGAAGCAGATTTTTTGCGAATCACATTTTTACAAGGCGATTTATGCCATTTTTACATTTTTTGAAAGGGTGTTGAGGCGTCGTCGATTAAAAAAAAACCTGATATTAGGAACATAATTTTTTCATGAAACAGTTTTTCAAAACCGTACAAAAATTAAGACTTTCCAAATTAAATTTTTTTCATATAAAATGTATTCATTCGCAAACGGCAAGTTAAAAACATGCTTAGCAAATATACCAATCGCATAAAATCGTTGAAAACATTAATAACTTAGCGGAAAAGTTTGGTAGGTAACCTTTTTCAAAACACTGTTTTTGGTAATTTTTGGCATTCTTGGCTTCGAGCCGCAAATCTTGCCTTCCCCGCCCCTTTAAAATCTTGTGATTTTTCATAATATTGCAAATTTCAGAAACTGGCCACCTGGCCAGCACTGCTTCCGGGAACAAGGTCGGCTCCGTGTCGGCCGCCAAAAAGGACAAGGACTCCGATGCTGTCGAGGACAAATTTTAAAGCAATTTTACGAAATTATGAAAATCCTCTAGATTCTATACTAACGTCTTTATTTCCATCTTCCCGAAAATTTGCATTTTTCAAAACGATAGGAAAAAACCTGCTATTCAAGGATACTCTGTAGCACGATTTTCGATCTTTCCTGATGTCGAATAGATGTAAAAATTTGTGTTTCAATTCTTTTATAACAAAACAAACATTTATTTTTGCCTACTAGAACCGCTTACTAGGGAGGTATCTGAACTTGCCACCGAATCTTGGGAAGTCAGATACACCATTCGACGCGCTTTGATGAGAGGATTCCAAATATGTAATAAAATCAACGGGAGCGCATAACGGTAAAAAGTTATGAGGGTTCAAAGTTCACCAGATGGCGAAAAACACCATCTTTGAGACCCTGTATCATCCCGCGGAATGGAATTTAGTCTAAACTGATTAGTGCTTCTGGTTCAACAAAGAAAGCTCCTTCAAATGAGCTATATCACATACGGCTGCCAAAAAATTCCTCAGAAAATTTTTCGGAATGCGATGTAAGGGTAGGGTAGGGTGATTCTGGCGAAGACTTTTCGAGAATTTGGCGTAAAGCGCATGTAAGATAGCTCATTCGAAAGGGAATTTATTGCTGAGCAAGATGTACTGTTCCATTTTTGACAAATTACATTCTTGGAATTCGTGCATAGTCTTAAAAGGGTGGTTTTAACGATTTTGTCAACTTGGAGTTAGAGAACTTCCAATCCTGAATTTTTTTCCCCGAAGTTATTTTATCATCGCTTGAGCTTTTTATGGGTCACAGAGTCAAGAAAAACTTATTCCCGAATTCGGAAATGTAAACAGTAGGAGCTGGGCAAAAAGCAAAAAATAAAAATCGTGACTGGGTCCGAACCCTGGTCGTAAAACTCAGCGACCTTTGCACACACCACTAGGCCACGGGACCGATGGGAAGGGTGCTCTGGGAGGGGCTAATATCGCAGCGGCCCTCCTCAGCGTAAAAATTAAAATGCTCATAACTTTTTTACCGTTATGCGCTCCCGTTGATTTTATTACATATTTGGAATCCTCTCATCAAGGCGCGTCGAATCGTGTATCTGACTTCCCAAGGTTCGATGGCAAGTTCAGATACCTCCCTAGTTAGTCGCAAAATTCTATATTTTTCATATTGATTCCTTTCCAAGGAGCAATAAAAATTTCGATTTGACAACAAATACTATCGCAAAAAATATTTCATATTTCATCTGCAATACTTCATATCTCTGCATACCGACTTTCTTCGAATTTCGAAAAGGCAATAAATGTATAAAGATATGTTTTGAGTAATTTAAAAACAGAAATACTGATGATAATATTATTGTCTCAGCTTCCCGATCTATTATTATTGTGGCAGAACACATTTTTTTCTCGTTTTATATTAGCAGCAAGTCGCTGCGAAATTCTATACCTGTCAATGCGGCTTCTTTGGAAGAAATAAAGTTAATGCAAAAATGTGTTTTAAATATTCCAAAAATGCGCAACCTGAAACTTTTGCATTATTACCTCAGCTCGACATCAACAAATACCTTGATAGAACCGGGAATTTAGCAAAAGCCAATTTGAATTTGAGTGGCAGCTGCTGGGTGTGGTGGGCCCAATTTTCTTGTCAATCACTTTTGGAATTAAAAATAAGAAAAAAATCGGAAATAACTTAAATTGGCATTCTTGATTTTGAATGGAAGCAAATAAAAGGGGGCAGAACAACCAAGAATTGTTACTTGGACACCCTATATAAAAACCTTAAATTGGTATCTAATATCATCACGTCTATACTAATTTAGCTAAAACACCGAAATTTTATTTGTAAATTTTATTGAATTTGCAAAGTGCAACATTCAGCGTTCAAGAAAACTCGTTAAGCTAAAAACCGGGATGCCAAAAGCTGCAGAGTGGGAATCCCAAAAATCAGAATATCGATTCTTAGCCTCGATAATTTTCAGAATCTCGAAAGATCGATACTCTGAATTAACCTTGATAGCCTCAGCAGTTGCACGCCTTTTTTTTCAGTTTCATTTTGTCGAAATATCGTATTGTCGAAACAACTTTTGTCGAAATTTCGTTTGCCAAAATTCCAATTCCTTTCTCACCTCGATTATTCAAATTGAATTCGACAAAATGATATTCGACAAAAAGCTATTTCGAAAAATGATGTTCTTAATTACGACAAATGAGGATAGCAAATCGCATGCGCTCGTCCTGCATTCAGCCTGTGCAAATTCCGAAATTTTGAAAATTGGAATCCTGAAAATTCCGACCAACCATCTCCAATATACTAATTTCGCTAAAACACCGAACTTTCACTACACCAAAATTGGCCCTCACCCCTGGCCCTATATGTATTCTTCGATGGCTAAACTCCTTCCTGCCCCCTCATTGCCAAAAAATGGCGAAAACCAGGCATTTGTGGCAAGCAAAACTGGTGTTAAGCAAACTGCCGTGAAGAAATAAACCAGCTAACGGAGATTTGATAAAACACATTAATCGGAAAATTTTTTTAAGAATTTGTTACGGAAACTCGCTATTGTGTTTTTTACTGAAAATTTTTACGTTTTTACGTTGCGGAATAGTACAAAATAAGCTTAGAAAAGCTTGCCCTATTTATATCAGAAAAATTGGATTCTAGCGAAATGAACTGGTTTCAATTTTACATTAATTCCTGAAATTACACTATTAAATGACGCTCAATTGTTATGTGGTCACCACCTGATTTTTCTAATCAAACCTAACAAATGATGAAAAACATACATTTTGAAAATGAACACATGTGGAATCCAACTCAAGAAGAACTGTCGTGAAGAATTAAACCGGTTAATCAAGATTTGATAAAACACATCAATCGAAAAAATCGTTTTGGCATTTTTTTTCGTAAAACTCGATTTTTTTTATAAAAATTCTATGTTTTTACGTTTCGGGATCGCTAAACTCGGGATCGCTAAACTAAGTGTAGAATAGCTCTCCTACATAAATTAAAAAAGTTGGATTCTAACGAAAAAAACAGGTTTTCATTGGAAAGTGTCCGCCAACCCCGATAGTGCCAAAGCACCCAATTTCCACGATTTGATATGATCCATCTACGATCCATCCATCTACCTCCATCTGCGAATGCCAATCACCAACATCACGATCATATGAATTTTGCCGAAACACCGAATTTTTACCTAGTAAATTTTTGCTTATTGCCGATTTTTTGATCCAACACTACTATAATTTCGCTAAAACATCAAATTTTCACTACACGAAAATTGGACCCCATATTTTTCGATGGCTAAACTTCTTCCGGGGGTCCCCCTAATTAACGGCAGAGGGGCGGGGGACGCTCAAAAAAATAAATGATCCCCTTCTCGGGGGGTAATTCGGGAGGTTAAAGAGGTTTTTTGGCACCGATCCGTAGCTGCTGGGGTGGAACATATTTTTTTGAGGCTGACTTTACCCTCCTGACAGCCGCAAAATACCAATTGGCCTTCCAGGCGTCCTGCCAAGACTTTAGCAGCTACCATCTGCAAACATCGGATCTTGTGTATTATCGGGGGCAAATCCGGACCCTGTAAGATAATAAGTAAGTTTTTAGAGCTTATAAGTGGATTTATTAGAACGTAGAACTGTTTTTTGAAACTATGAGTGTTTTGTGTCTTTAGTAAATTTTATTGTTTTTGTAGCATTTTTTAATTTAAGAAACTGGACCGCATTGGAAAACCTGAGAACAACTCATCTATAATTTTAGTTGAAACATCTTTTCGCGGCCAACCAACCGGACTTTGTTTCTGATTATCAACAGCGTTTCCAATTTCAATTTTTCAATAATTTTTTTTAATTGTTAATTATAATTTTAATAACAATACTCTTAATCGAAAATAAACAATGATTAAAATTTGTCAATTAAATTTAAATTTGCCAGTTCAATTGTCAATTTAAAGTTTCTTTACTTGTTTCCCCTACACAGAAATACATACAGCTGAAAAGCAAGAAAGGCATTAAAATTGCGTAAAAAATCAGCAAACAAAAAATCTCGGCTAATAAAAATTTTGGGTTTCAGAAAATTTCCAACCCAACCTTTTTCGCCAACACTAATTTTTTTTTGTTTCCCGCGCTGAGGAATCTTGCTCCCAAAATCCCAGCCACATTTCAATTGTAATTTGTTTAATTTTAATTTTCAATCTTAAAGCGTTAAAATCGCGCAAAAACCACCAAGCAAGGAATTTTTTAATTTTATTGTTTCATAAAATTTCAAAGTGCCAGTTCTTCAGCATGGACTAATTTTTTTACCCCCTCCATTTGCAATCTTGCTCTCAAAATCCTGTGCTGCCGGGATTTGGCGGCGCTAGGCAGCTAAAAGCAAAGCAAATTCGGTCGTAGTGATTTTTCCGGAAGCTAAAGAATGTTTCGCCGCAAATCGATCCCATAAATGCGAAATGCGGGTTTAGTTTCTCCAATTTGTCTGTTTTGTGTATTGTGTTGTTTGCAAATACTTGTAATAAGTATTAGAATTCTTCAGTTCATTTTGTTTTTATGGATGAAAATGGCTAAAAGTTGTGTGTTTCTAAGAACCTCTATATCTAAATGCGTTTTCCTGAACGAATAGTCTTTTGTTGGTGATTACCATTGATCAATGATATCATGGATTATCTCCAATAATCACTATAAATTAACATAACTCATTATTAAATTTATCAAACAAAGTTATTGTGGCTATTTACCGCAATTATTATTTCTTCTCAGGAAAATATATTTTCCATTTTCGGCTGTACCCGCTCTATATTTTTGGCTTGGATGAAATTTTTTTATTAAGACCTCTGCCTTGCGAAGCTACTTTTTTTTGAACGTCTCCAGATCAAAGAAATTGAATATTTGGCTTTTTGAAATAAAATGAAACATTGGAAAGTTCTGAATTTTTTGCGGTTTTCCCATCATTCCTTAAAAGGAAGCCGGAAAAGTAATAAACCTTCGCGACTCTAATTACTGCCTGCCAAATTTGTTCCCGTTTTCTACCAGTGCTTGAAACACTCAATTTTTAAAAATTGCACTTTTTCCGGGTCCTTTTTCGCGTTTTGCCGCATTTTCCTCATCACCATCCGCAATCCCGAAATGTCAACAAATTCTTGGGGGGCATCGGAATCTAGACGGGCCGGTTTAAACGAGGTCCCGCCCCCTCTTACCCCCTAAAATGTGGCCCTTTCGGGTGCTCTTCTTCCCCTTTTCGAGCCCCTTTTCGGCGGCTCAGATCTCATTTTGGGATTTGGCAACTTTGCCTTTCGAGGAGAACCGACATCAAATTCGAGGCGTCCCCCCGAAAAAATTGGCCAAAAATCGGGGACCCGCTAAAATTCATTCTCAAAGAAGCTCTGCTAGTCACACGGGTACTTAAGAAAATGAAGGAACGAGGCGTCCCTCACTTTAAAGGCGTTCCCAAGGAATCGCTGCTCGTTACCGAGCAAACCTTGAGTTTTTGCGATGTTATGCTCCTTCGCAGATCTTACTGAGTCAAACCCAGGAGTCCCAGCTTGTCAGGCAGCCAATTCTGCAAGTCTTTGCTGTCATGCTCCCTTTAAGACCATTCCTGCGAGTCCCAGCTTTTCACACAGATAAGCCTACTATTTGTAGATGTCTTGCTCCCTTTAAAATCACCCCTACGGAGTGCAACCATTCTCAAGGAATCTCTGCTCGTTGCCACCGATAAGATTTGCGAAAATCTGAAGGCTCGCTCCCTTTAAACAATGATCAAAGGATCTCTGCTCGTTACCCAGCTGAACCTCCCATTTTTTTGATGTCGAGCTCGATTTAGCGCTATTCCCAAGGAATCTCTGCTCGTTAAGCCGCTATAATCTGAGTAAACCGGATGTCGCGCTTCCTTTAAAGCCATTCCCCAGGAGTCTCTGCTTGCTGCCCATCAAAATTTGAGAAATTTTGATGACATGCTCCCTTCAAAGTAACTCTCAAAGGATCTCTGCTAGCTACCGCATGCCGTTTCGACTCCAATGTTTCAACTAAAAATGTCTTCTTGGATATATTTTTGCAAAGAATTCCATGCGGGCAAGATACAGCCTTAAATAAAAATTTTTGTTAGATTTTCCAAAGATTCTCTGCTAGCTACCCGAAAGTTCGAAATAACCGGAAATTTCACTTACACTCCCTCTCTCTCTGTCTCTCCCTCTGTCTCTCTCTCCCTGTCTCTCCCTCTCGTTCTTTAAAATTCCCAAAGATTCTCTGCTAGCTACCCGAAAGTTCGGAAAAACCGGAAATGTCACTCACTCTCTTTCTCTCTTTCTTTCTCTCTCTCTCACTCCCTATCTCTCTCTCTCTTTCTCTTCTCTCTCTCTCTCTCTCTCTCTCTCTCTCTCTCTCTTTAAAATTCCCAAAGAATCTCTGCTAGCTTGCCGCCGCCTACGTATAAATTGACTGATCTCCCTCGCTTGTTTGATTATTGAAAGATACTATGAAATAACGCCATTATTAAAAATATATTTAGATACTCAATATAACAAAAAATGTTTAAATACTAAAATTTAAAGTCTTTTTTAAAAGGCAAAAACGGCCAATCGATAAATTTCGTTCAATGCTCATTTATTGGTAGGAACACGATTTTTTTTATGCCTGCCCCAATTTGCATGCAAATTAGATGAGGTGCTTAATTGTTTTTTGGGGGGAAAAGAATTAGGTATCAGACCCTCAGCTATCCTCAGCCTCAGCTAAAAAATGTATGTTTCACGAAATCTTCTTGCCGGTATTGACTATTGTCGTTAATTGGCGTGTTTGTGGAATATGTAAATTTGACTGCCGCGCGACCTCAGTTAAATTTGATGGTGCTTTGGCATTATCGGGGGGGGGGGGCAATGACTTTTTCGCGCTAATTTTCAAAATATAAAATGGTCGAAGCGCCTCTAAATATCTTTTACAATTTTACAAAGTTTACAACTTTTATTATATACAAAATTAACAGTACAAAAATAGCGATTTTTCGACAAAAAATTTCGGATTCCCATTTTTTTAGATAGTCCTCCGAAAACGTCAAAGCCCCATTAAAGAAAAGTTTGTTTTTGCTGTTAAAATTTCCATTTTTTACTTATATTATTGATCGATTTGTTTAATTTTCACGATAGCAAATTTTATTCAGGTAAAAACAGTAATGGCCGGAATGCTGTACCTCTGCGCGCTGGCGGCCTGCATTTTGGGAGGTGCTTTCCATGAGACCACAGCTTTCATGATTAAAATTTTTTAGATCAAATTTAATTTGAATTATAGATGAAACATTTTTTGTTTGTTTTCCACTTATTTAAGCCAAATTGAAGCGTTGCAAATTTTCAATGTAGGTTATTTTTTTTATTGATCAGCGTTCACTAAAACGAGACTAATAATTTTTGTACAGGCTTTTTTAGGTTTTTTCATGAAACATTCAAGATAGGCATAGACTTCAACCTAGGTTGGGGCAAAGGCTTAGGCTTGGCTTAGGTTTGTGCTTAGCTTAGGCTTAGGCTTAGGCTTAGCTTAGGCTTGGCTTAGGCATCGGTTTAGGCTTGGCTTAGACTGAGGCTTAGGCGTGGCATAGGCCTAGTTTAGACCATTTTCAAGGGATGATGCGGCCCAGAAACCTCTTAAATTCAGCCCTCACACTGCCGCCAATCGTGCCCAACTCGGACAAGCTGTGCGTGGACGGCCAAAGAATTGCCACCCCGTGCGTGTGCTGCAAAAAGGACTGCTGGTTCACCGTGGCTACGGTAATCGACTTTAATTTTGAGTTCCGGGCATTTTAAAACTTAAAAAAATAAGTTTCGTCTAGAAATCTGCGTATTATTCCTGCAGAAATCGATATAAACCCGGTATACTTACGATCTAGGTTCCTGAAAAGCGGATATAATCGGCCTCGAGAGCGCCTTCTAAAACAACAGTAAATTCGGGCTTACACATCTATGAAATCCGCGATTAAAAAACTAGTTTCAGCTAATAAGACGATAATTTGGCAACTGAGCAAATTACTGACGTTCTGTTTCCCATCGTAGAAATCCGCCACTTATTTCGATGTTTCACGGATTTTACATGCGGGCGAAAAGATTAGTGATACAATAAATAGAAGATTCAGAATGGTTTCGTATTATAATTCTGAATACCTCTTAAATTATACCATCCCTGCTAGAACTCGGCTAAAATTTGATGTTTCATAACTTTTCCACCAGCACCGGGGGGTTGGCTTATTCAATCGGCGCCTGGTTTAAAATTGTATAACTTTTTGAAGGTAATTTTTTTAGCCAATAAAGCGATAGCTTCACAGCTGAACAAATTAACGGGCTCCAAATTTTCGCCGAATTCTAAAAACGCCTTTTTATTTGGATGTTTCGTAAATTTTTCATGAGCGCCGCGGGATCTCTGCCATAATGGGTAGCAAATTCTGTTCACTTACGTAACGTACTCTGCACTTGCCAATTTATCGTCGTCAATTTTTAACAGCAAAATGTTTTATTTGGGAAAAGCCATGGCGTTGTGGCTACACAAATTAATTGAATCTAAAATCATAACGAATTCTAAAAATTTAGTATTTTTCAGCAATTTCGCGTCAGACCCGTCCACTGGCTGATTTAATAAGAAGAATTCCGATCCATCCTATTTTGTTGAAATTTACATATAAAAAAACTTTATGCCTATTGATGAAAATGAACCAAAATAGTTATATTTATAAAATCAATAAATATTCCTATTTTTTATTTTTATCGTTATATTTTAAAATATGAATTTATGTATTTAATTTTTTTTAGTTAGCCGCCGAAGAATTGGGCCACATCCCCGGGACCGGGGGGAGACGACGAGGCCGTAAATACATTGAAGGTCGGCAATTTTGTCCAATTATTGTTTTAAAAACTGTCAATTCCGTTTTTACAGAAAATATTTTTATTTGAACTAAATGAAACAAAAAAATTTAGTGAATGACTCGATTTTGTCGAAAATCGTTTTTTAATGTGAAGACGCACAAATTTTTATTTTCAGCATTTTGGAGATGAATAATTTTGGACGAATTTCGACAAAAATGGCATTTAAACAAAGAATAAATTTAAATGAATGAATAAATGAATGAATAAAAAAATAAGATAAATAAAAAACCCTTCAGAAGTTAACACTTTCAGCTGATCCGTGAATGCATCGTGGCGGAATGCGCGCTGGAATGCGTCCGGCCCGCACCCTTTCAATAATTCGAATAGTTTTTAGTTTTGCTTTTTGCTGCTTTGCGCACTATTTTTTCAAGCTAAATAAATTGTTGAACTAAATGGATAAGTTGCTGTATCTACTTTGGCAAAGGATTCCCGGCAGATGACGATTTTGGTTAAGCTCTTGAGGTGAAACACGCAGATAATGCGCCTGTTCTTTCTTTCCTTCTCTCTCTCTCTCTCTCTCTCTCTCTCTCTCTCTCTCCCGCGCTCTCTCTCACTCTCTCTCCCGCGCGCTCTCTCTCTCTCTCTCGTCTCCAATGCGAAAGACTTTGAATCAAGGACAAAATTGACATGCAGATTTCAGGAATCTAGAGAAAAACGATTATTCACATTTTTGTTGTTACGCTGGTGATTTGGCACTACCATTCGTATATTTATCTGTAGGAATTATTGCATTATTTTCTATATTTCTATTATTTCGAGTGTTACCAAAAAAGCACCGTACTTTTAATAAATTCCCTACTTCCAAATCCGAAGCAAAAATTCCTAGAGAAAAAGTAATAAAAATGTACATGATCGAAATGACAAAAAATTAGTTTCAGATTATCGTAAGAATGCCGTGACACGGATTTCTTTATTATTCCGTGCTAAGTTGCGACTTATTCTGAATTTTTGTCGCTACAAATAGCGTGTGTTTCACAAAAATCGAGTACCTTTATTAACTCTGCATTGGCAATTATTACACACAATCAGAAATTATGCATATAACGTAAAAACAATGGAAAAGACTGTGTTTTTGGGGTCACCCGTCACAAGTGATAGTGCACAAAAATGGCGAGTTTACATAAAAGAACATTTAAAAATTTACTTTTGACATCAAAATTAAAACTACTTAAATTTTTGATTAAAACCATTTTCTTATTTTTGAGCGACGCTGAGGGTACGGTAGCTCGGGGCCCGAAATTAAAAAATTTGAGTTTGAAAATCGCCTTTTTATTTTTTTTTAGCTTGAAAAATACGTTCATTCTGCTAGCTACCGTACCTATATTGCTTAAAATGGGGGAAGGATGACAAAAATCGACTACTAATTTGAATACGACGGAGGTACCGGGATTTTTAGAATTTTATTGAAAATGCTTGAAACAATTTTTTCTGAAATTTTGTCAGTGGGTTTCGGATGAATCGGCTGCTACTAAAATTTTTGATTTTTAAAGATATTTGAAACATTCAAATTTAAATTTTTGAGTATTTTGTTTAAACAAATTAATTTCTCTAAAATTTTCAAGATTTGAATAAAAACATAAAAATTACATCTACAGTATCCAGCTCCATTACGGTAAAAATGCAAAAAAAAATCAAATATCCGGCCAGGGCGGCCGCAGAAAGCCGGCTATCAACACGATGGAGATGATGGTAAAGAAGCGGAACGTCGTTCCGGCACTGCCGCCATTACAGCGATCCCCGTAGCAGCTACATAGTTGCACCTGAAAATCAATTAATTAAAATAAATAAATAGAATTAAAACAACGTTTAAAACCTCATATCATTTTAGGAAAGAATGGGTTTCAAAAAATCAGAGTTGGCAGCCAGAAAATCTTGAATAATTTGGAGCATCACTCAGCTTTTCAATTATACAAATTTCAAATATGGAAAAAACCAAATTAAACTAAAAACAATTTTCATAAAATTTAACAAAAATTTCTGTGAAAACACTTGGTCTCAAAAAACACAGGTCACAAATCGACAATTTTTTTTGATAATTATCCGCCTGTCAATCTCTTTAGCGAGTTAATTATTATTTGGTGTAATTGTTATTTTGCTATGTAATTTTTTAACTATCACCTTTGATACTACAATATATTTAAAATTTTTTTATTAAAACCCTGGTAAAAAAAATGAAAATCAGAGCTACCTCTCCGAGCGCGTACTGCTCCTGGCCCTTGATCGGGTTGAAGAGGGCGGCCCGGGAGAGCGTTCGGCATTGATTCTAAATTTGGCGTTAAACTTTTTAACTTTACAAGCATTTATCTTTAGAAAGAAAAATTAGTAAATTTCTCATTACCAAGAAAATAATTCTTTACGAGGAGTGATCCAAATCTGTTTTTCTGGATTGATGCAGGTGGACGAAACATATTGTTTTAAATTGATTTGCTGGGGTATGGTCAGCATCACGGTGTAGACGAGCGGATTTGACTATGACCGAATTTTAAGGTATAATCTTGACGATTCTAATGATTAACTTAAAATCCCCTAAAAACTTCTTTTGTTTTTAAATTAGTGGTTTCAAAATAAAAATGGACCCCCTCTGATCGATGCGATTTTAATTCAGTCGTCATTCAGTCGATCTCATATTGCTTACATTTTGGTTAAAGCGATGCGTGCGGATGGCCGTCTCGTTGAAGCCATTCCGGAGGACACGATCCATACAGCCACGAATGTGCTTGAAGCCGATCAGGACGCCTGGAAAAGTATAAATAATCTCTGCTAGCCTGCCCTCTCCTCTTCCTCAACAATCTCTGCTAGCCTGCCCTCTCCTCTTCCTCAACAATCTCTGCTAGCCTGCCCTCCTCCTCTTCCTCAACAATCTCTGCTAGCCTGCCCTCTCCTCTTCCTCAACAATCTCTGCTAGCCTGCTCCTCTCCTCTTCCTCAACAATCTCTGCTAGCCTGCCCTCTCCTCTTCCTCAACAATCTCTGCTAGCCTGCCCCTCTCCTCTTCCTCAACAATCTCTGCTAGCCTGCCCTCTCCTCTTCCTCAACAATCTCTGCTAGCCTGCCCTCCCTCTTCCTCAACAATCTCTGCTAGCCTGCCCTCTCCTCTTCCTCAACAATCTCTGCTAGCCTGCCCTCTCCTCTTCCTCAACAATCTCTGCTAGCCTGCCCTCTCCTCTTCCTCAACAATCTCTGCTAGCCTGCCCTCTCCTCTTCCTCAACAATCTCTGCTAGCCTGCCCTCTCCTCTTCCTCAACAATCTCTGCTAGCCTGCCAGGCCCGTAGGAGGGGGCGGGGGGCATGCCGCCCCGAAATCTGCAGATGGCGAAAAAATGATAAGGGGGACCCTTATCATTTTTGAAAATTTTGAAAAGGGCGGTAAACGGCAGATGTTTTTGAACCGCCGCCCCCCGAAACCCTTGCCGCCCCCGAAATTTTGGGTCAGCTACGCCCTGTAGCCTGCCCTCTCCTCTTCCTCAACAATCTCTGCTAGCCTGCCCTCTCCTCATCCTCAACAATCTCTGCTAGCCTGCCCTCTCCTCTTCCTCAACAATCTCTGCTAGCCTGCCCTCTCCTCTTCCTCAACAATCTCTGCTAGCCTGCCCTCTCATCATCCTCAACAATCTCTGCTAGTTTACCGGCTTCAATCTCGGGCTCAAGCAGGCTTATGCAAATGCTGCTACACATCACAGTAGGCATGGCTCGTTCCTGTTGAGGGTCCCGACACCGATCGGTAAATACCTGAAAATACAGTTCGATACAAATGAAAAAGCATGTTTCAGAAAACTCAATGTTTCGCGTTGGTTGGAAAAAATAATATGTGAACGACAAATAGTTGCTCCCTGTTTTAGATAACTTTATTTTCGCAATTTTTCTCGCTTTGCAAAAAAATGTTCCTGAAAAATTGGATGTGGCGTGTGCATCCACCGTTTTAAGGGTGTGCCTGGACCAGATATTTAGGTTAATTCAAGTTTTGCAAATTATAAGCTTTTTTGATATTTTTATTCAATAATAAACTTTCGCTAAAATACTAAATATTAAACAGAGTCAGTAAAAAGTACCAGCATACCTTTGGGTAGATATAGGTGCTCTGGAGGTATTTCCAATTGGTCTGATAGGACAGCGACATGCAGCTGTAGCACTCGATTTGCCGCGGGATGGCGCCTGAAAAATCTGGAGCTTTATTAAAATTATTAAAATCGAGATGCTTTGATAAATTTTTTGTTAAAATAAAAGGTTTTACCAAAACATTCGACCTGATTCGGCCGTGACTTTGTAATTTCCGGGCCGCACTCATTTCCCGTAATTTTTGGCGTTTGGGACGCACCGTATAACGCATTAGGATTTTTTGACCGTTGTTCGTCCGCCGAATAATAATTTTAAGACGTTTTTAAGTAGAATTTATATAAAAACATACATTTTTCACCTTCTGATACCACCTAGCGTATTAAAAAATAGAGCGCTAATTTGGAACTTTTATAGATCGATAAACCGTTTTTTGGTATTTTTGTATATACATCATTCGACTATAAAAGTTTGTAATAAAAATTCGCTTAAATTAAATCATGCAGTTAAAAATTTGGATAGTTTTTTGAGAATTGCGATAAAAGAAAGGATATTTTTTTTATTTTTCGTTTCCTCTTTTTTATATTATTTTAGTAATTCATGATTTTCTATTGTTTATATATATTATTTTAATTTCATATAGTACTCCATTTTTTCTTTCGATTAGGATTTAAAGTTCATTGCTTAATCTATTTTTTTTTGTCGATGCCGCAGCAAAATTAAGCAATTCGAAATTTCGTGGTGAGTGCTACTTGATCAAACACTTTTTTCTAATTTTTCGAGAACTATATCCAGCTTACCATAAAGCTCATATCCGGCCACCCGTTGGCCCCAAAAGCCTATGCAAATGATGCAAAAATGGTACAAAAATGCCCGAGGCCAGCCGCCGGACCCCATCACCGCAAAACCGGCACCATGATTTGTAGGGGGTTGCTGAAGTAATTGAAGGAATTTGAAGGGAAAATAAAATAGGAAAACTGTGGAAAAAGCGATATCAATAAAATTGAGCCTGAAACAGAGAAAAAAAGCAATTGGCACTAAATATTTCGAATTTTGTTAAAATTGTTTCAAAAAGCGGTGGATAGATGGGACAGCGAATTCGTGCTAATCTCGGTTCGGCATATCGTCTTTTCTCACAAAAACTACCTAGCAATCTATTTATACAATTTAATTTATTGATATTTAAATGGATGGTATTTTATTCGTTG